GGACAGTTTGTGTGAGATGTCTGGACAGTTTGTGTGAGATGTCTGGACAGATGTCTGGACAGTTTGTGTGAGATGTCTGGACAGTTTGTGTGAGATGTCTGGACAGTTTGTGTGAGATGTCTGGACAGTTTGTGTGAGATGTCTGGACAGTTTGTGTGAGATGTCTGGACAGTTTGTGTGAGATGTCTGGACAGTTTGTGTGAGATGTCTGGACAGTGTGAGATGTCTGGACAGTTTGTGTGAGATGTCTGGACAGTTTGTGTGAGATGTCTGGACAGATGTCTAGACAGTTTGTGTGAGATGTCTAGACAGTTTGTGTGAGATGTCTGGACAGTTTGTGTGAGATGTCTGGACAGTTTGTGTGAGATGTCTGGACAGTTTGTGTGAGATGTCTGGACAGATGTCTAGACAGTTTGTGTGAGATGTCTAGACAGTTTGTGTGAGATGTCTGGACAGTTTGTGTGAGATGTCTGGACAGTTTGTGTGAGATGTCTAGACAGATGTCTGGACAGTTTGTGTGAGATGTCTGGACAGTTTGTGTGAGATGTCTGGACAGTTTGTGTGAGATGTCTGGACAGTTTGTGTGAGATGTCTGGACAGATGTCTGGACAGTTTGTGTGAGATGTCTGGACAGTTTGTGTGAGATGTCTGGACAGTTTGTGTGAGATGTCTGGACAGTTTGTGTGAGATGTCTGGACAGTGTGAGATGTCTGGACAGTTTGTGTGAGATGTCTGGACAGTTTGTGTGAGATGTCTGGACAGATGTCTAGACAGTTTGTGTGAGATGTCTGGACAGTTTGTGTGAGATGTCTGGACAGTTTGTGTGAGATGTCTGGACAGTTTGTGTGAGATGTCTGGACAGTGTGAGATGTCTGGACAGTTTGTGTGAGATGTCTGGACAGTTTGTGTGAGATGTCTGGACAGTTTGTGTGAGATGTCTGGACAGTTTGTGTGAGATGTCTGGACAGTTTGTGTGAGATGTCTGGACAGTGTGAGATGTCTGGACAGTTTGTGTGAGATGTCTGGACAGTTTGTGTGAGATGTCTGGACAGTTTGTGTGAGATGTCTGGACAGTTTGTGTGAGATGTCTGGACAGATGTCTGGTCAGTTTGTGTGAGATGTCTGGACAGTTTGTGTGAGATGTCTGGACAGTTTGTGTGAGATGTCTGGACAGTTTGTGTGAGATGTCTGGACAGTTTGTGTGAGATGTCTGGACAGTTTGTGTGAGATGTCTGGACAGTTTGTGTGAGATGTCTGGACAGTTTGTGTGAGATGTCTGGACAGTTTGTGTGTGATGTCTGGACAGTTTGTGTGAGATGTCTGGACAGTTTGTGTGAGATGTCTGGACAGTTTGTGTGAGATGTCTGGACAGTTTGTGTGAGATGTCTGGACAGTTTGTGTGAGATGTCTGGACAGTTTGTGTGAGATGTCTGGACAGTTTGTGTGAGATGTCTGGACAGTTTGTGTGAGATGTCTGGACAGATGTCTGGACAGTTTGTGTGAGATGTCTGGACAGTTTGTGTGAGATGTCTGGACAGTTTGTGTGAGATGTCTGGACAGTTTGTGTGAGATGTCTGGACATATGTCTGGACAGTTTGTGTGAGATGTCTGGACAGTTTGTGTGAGATGTCTAGACAGTTTGTGTGAGATGTCTGGACAGTTTGTGTGAGATGTCTGGACAGTTTGTGTGAGATGTCTAGACAGTTTGTGTGAGATGTCTGGACAGTTTGTGTGAGATGTCTGGACAGTTTGTGTGAGATGTCTGGACAGTTTGTGTGAGATGTCTGGACAGATGTCTGGACAGTTTGTGTGAGATGTCTGGACAGTTTGTGTGAGATGTCTGGACAGTTTGTGTGAGATGTCTAGACAGTTTGTGTGAGATGTCTGGACAGTTTGTGTGAGAAGTCTGGACAGTTTGTGTGAGATGTCTGGACAGTTTGTGTGAGATGTCTGGACAGTTTGTGTGAGATGTCTGGACAGTTTGTGTGAGATGTCTGGACAGTTTGTGTGAGATGTCTGGACAGTTTGTGTGAGATGTCTGGACAGTTTGTGTGAGATGTCTAGACAGTTTGTGTGAGATGTCTAGACAGTTTTATTGTGACGGATGAAAGAACTGTTGTTGCTGGACACAGAGTTTCTTCCAGGCATCTCTTCGGGGGGGGGGGGGGCGGAGCGAAGAAGAGTCTACCGCCCCCCCCCCCCCCCCCCCCGAACGAGATGGAATGTATGTAGTAAACATACACTTTTACTAGTGTCCGCCCCCCACCCCGAAAAATGTTAATTTCCCCCCCCCCCCCCCCGGAGGAAAAAAGTCTGGAAGAAACACTGGCTGGACATCTCTGTGACAGACATTAGAGACTGGTCAATATTTTGACTTTCTTGTGTGTGTGTGTGGGGGGGGGCGTACTTGATTTATAACCGTGTCAAGTTTTACTGAGTCAATTTCCCCAAGCTTTAAATTTGAGAAATTGTCTAATTGTTCTCGAGGATATTTTCCAGCTGGCCCCAAAACTAGGCGTTATATACGTCATGCTGCACGTCCGTCATGCTGCACGTCCGTCAGCCTGACGTCCGTTATGCTGCACGTCCGTCAGCCTGACGTTCGTCATGCTGCACGTCCGTCAGCCTGACGTCCGTCATGCTGCACGTCCGTCAGCCTGACGTCCGTCATGCTGCACGTCCGTCAGCCTGACGTCCGTCATGCTGCACGTCCGTCATGCTGCACGTCCGTCAGCCTGACGTCCGTCATGCTGCACGTCCGTCAGCCTGACG